TTATATTTGGGTTCTAGAACTATCGATAAGACACTCGCGTCGCGATTGGTCTATAGAAATCTATAGCCAGAGGTTTTCAACATTTAAGTAAAACAAAATGTGACCCGATTTCAATGAAACTTATTCACTTGTGTAAAAGTACATATTATGTTTAGTAAAAACATCTGTAGGTGATGGAGAAAAATGGATATAATTTTCGGATTCAGCGTACAGGAATTACTGTAGAACATTTGAAAATTTGAAGATAATAAGACCATCGCAGGCCTATGTTATCACTTAACAATCGCTATTCGCACAGCATAGGCATTGAGAATATTTGATCCACTGACTCAATATAGATTTGAGGATAGCAACTAGAGTGATTATCAATGATGAATTGATTAGACGACAGGAGTAAATATATTCAAAGTTGGAAAAAAACAATTTCCTCAACTCTGCAATTGATCGAACAGCACTTCACATAAAGAGATTTGACAACAATTCTACCGAGTACAGTTGTACCCCTCACGGGTGAGGAGGTTACAAGAACCGATGGCACAGTTGTACTCCTCACAAGTGAGCCAGTGCTTCATGTGTTTGCCAATGTTTGACGTGCTAGTGTCTGGAAAGCCAGACGTAAGCTATGTTTTCACAGTGTGACAGTTTTAGTGCCGGTTCAATGGTATTGAAAAACATTAGAGGGAAAGCGAATGAACAGATCGTGTTTCCGAGAGGCGAATTTAATTATCAATGAAATACTAAATGCGACATCAAATGTGCAATCAAAACAGGTTTCTTCCTAATGCAGGATAATGTCACAACCAGGATTGCAATTAGATATCTTTAGAAGGAAACCTAAAGGATCATGAACTGACAAGGAAGAAGTTCGTGATCTCTATCTCACCGAACATTTCTAGAACTATTTTGGATGCCGTGTACGTCCAAACTAACACACCAGTCGACGTTGTACAGCTCGTCATTGCACTAGTGTGTAATGAGTCTGGATCTGACATAACGTTGTCCACCGGCTGATCAGAATTATATTTCACAAATGCAGAGATTGTATCAACACCAAGGAACACATACGCGTTACTGAGTATCTCTGTTTTTACTAGATATGATTTTTTTAGAGAAGTGTTGATTTAGTCCTAACTCTGACCCACTTTAAATTTTAAAGTACTCATACTACACGAATTATACTTTGTAATAAAACTCATTCATGACGTTTGCTAAAATACGACTTAACTTTAGGATTAGTATTCATTCGTTGAACAACAAACAAGTTAAATATTTGTACCTTTATTATTTCACTCTTTTGAATGGTTAATATTTGTCATTGATGACAGTGAGAGTTTGTTTTAGTTCTGGTAAAACTGATGTGGAGTGAAAACTATAGAATCAATACTGATACGCTATATATTAAACACTTATC